CTGCACAGGCACCAGCTCGGCTACAGCTAAGAAGCATCAACACCAAGTGCTGGCAGCTTACGGAGCAACTGGCGTCTCACACACTGCTGGCTGGACACACATAGCGGACAGTCACGCTGGAAGACGGTTTTACAGCTTCTTATAAAATTAAAGATATAGTCACCAGATGACCAAGCAATTCAACTCTGCAGCATTTCCCACCTCAGAGAACTTGCAAAGGTGTCGCACAAATCCCGTGTACAGACAACAGTTTTATTCATGAGACAAAACTGGGAACAACCTTTCATCCACCAGTAAACAGATACACCGAGGGACGTGTGTGCACAGAATGCTACTTAGCAGTAAATGCTAAGGACGGACATTGACGATTAGGCTGGGTGAAAGAGCCAGAAAAACCCAAGACAACCACCACATGATCCCATTCACGTGAAATTCTAGAAAAGACAAAACAACAGCACCATAGGGCCAGGGAGTGACGGTGAGGTAGGCCAGGACCTGGGACGCTTTGCTGCAGGGCTTGCACATGGACAAACATCTCCTCCAGCAACAGATACAAAGAAACTACAAGGGACTAAAAATAACTGCACACACGTGCAGCTGGGCAAATTATGAACAAGACACAAAAAAGTCAGAACCTAACTGTCACTTCTGCGGTGCCAGGAGCAAAGCAGGGTCCTGCACCCATGATCCCTGTACAGGGCACCACCACGGGGGTGGGCAGATGCCCAAGCCACGCCCTCTGGCCCCACCCACTGATCAAGGAGTCCAAGGGACGTCCCTGGGGGATTAGTGTTCCCTACCTTGCCAGTGATGTGGATCCACAGGGGTGAACTTTTATGAAATTCTGTCAAACTGTATACTTAGAACTGGGGAGTGTTACTCTGTGTCCATTATATCTCAATAAAGCTGACTGAAAAATAATTGTTCAATTCAAGAAGCTGGAAAGAAGTGACAACAGAAAAAATGTAAGAAAGTAACAAAAATGAAAGCAGAGGTTCATGAAGGAGATGAACAAAAAATTAAAGTACTCAATGAAGTTGATAGATCTTACCTGAAAAAATATAAGTTAACCTCTAGCATGACTAGTCAAAAGGAATCTGAGATAAATAACCCTACGAAGACAAAGGGTCAAATGTGCAGACTTGATGTTCTTGGATTGAAAGAATCAATACTGCCAAAATGAATATACTACCCAAGGCAATCTACAGGTTCAATGCAAACCCTATCAATTTACCAATGGCATTTTTCATAGAACTAGAAGAAAAAAATTTTTAATTTATATGGAAACACAAAGACCCCCAAATAACCAAAGCAATCTTGAGAAGAAAAACAGAGCTGGAGTAATCAGGCTCCCTGGCTTTGGACTACACTACAAAGCTACAGTAATCATAACAGTATGGTTCTGGCATAAAAACATTCAACGGAACAGGATAGAAAGCCCAGAGATAAACCCATGCACCTATGGTCAATTAACCTACGACAAAGGAGGCAAGAATATACAATGGAGAAAAGACAGTCTCTTCAATAAGTGGTGCTGGGAAAGTTGGACAGCTACATGTAAAAGAAAAAAATTAGAACACTGTGTAATACCATACACAAAAAAACCTCAAAATGGATTAAAGACCTAAATGTAAGACTGGATATTATAAAACTCTTACAGGAAAACAAAGACAGACACTCTGACATAAATCACAGCAGTATCTTTTTGAACCTAGCTCCCAGAGTAATGAAAATAAAAACAAAAATAAACAAATGGGACCTAATTAAACTTACAAGCTTTTGCATAGCAAAGGAAATCATCAAAACAAAAAGACAACACACAGAGTGGGAGAAAACATTTGCAAACGAAGCAACTGACAAAGGATTTATCTCCAAAATATACAAACAGCTCATGCAGCTCAGTATGAAAGAAAACAAGCCAACTGAAAACTGGGCAGAAGATCTAAATAGACACTTCTCCATAGAAGACATACAAATGGCCAAAAAGCACATGAAAAGATGCTCAACACTGCTAACTATCAGAGAAATGTAAATCAAAACTACAATGAGGTATCACCTCACACTGGTCAGAATGGCAACTGTTAAAAAATGTACAAGCAATAAATGCTGGGGAGGGTATGGAGAAAAGGGAACCCTCCTACACTGCCGGTGGGAATGTAAGCTGGTGCAGCCACTGTGGAGAAGAGTGTGGAGGTTCCTCAGAAACCTAAAAACAGAGTTGCCAAGTGATCCAGCTAACCCACTCCAGGGCATATATCCAAAGAAAACCATAATTTGAAAAGATAAACGCACCCCAATGTTCGTTACAGCACTATTTACAATAGCCAAGACATGGAAGCAACCTAAATGTCCATCAACAGGTGAACGGATAAAGATGTGGTACATACGTACAATGGAATATGACTCAGCCATCAAAGAGAATGAAATCATGCCATTTGCATCAACATGGATGGACCTAGAGATGATCATACTAAGTGAAGTAAGTCAGACAGAGAAAGACAAATATCATATGATATCACTTATATGTGGAATCTAAAAAAATGATACAAATGAACTTATTAACAAAACAGAAACAGACTCACAAACTTAGAAAGCAAACTTATGGCTACCAAAGGGGAAAGGCAACGGGGAGGGATAAATTAGGGGTCTGGAGTTAACATATACACCCTACTACATACAAGACAGATAATCAACAAGGACCTACTGTATAGCACAGGGTACTCTACTCAATATCGTGTAATAACCTAAGTGGGAAAAAAATTCTGAAATAGAAATAGATATATGTATAAGTGAATCACTTTGCTGTACACCTGAAACTAACACAACATTGTATATCAACTATACTCCAAAAGAAAACAAAAATTTTAAAAGAATCATACGAGAAGATAAGGAAAAGCTTTAGATAATACATTTATAATCATGCCAACGATTGTTTTAGAAAAAAGCATAAATGACCAAAAGTGATCCCAGAAATTAAAACCCTTAATAAAGCAGTAACATTAAAGGAAATTAAAACTCAAAGAGGAAAATGTGGAGGAAAGCGATCACGGCAGAGGAGGAGGAGGAGGACATGGAACTCACATCCTCCCACAAATACAAGAACAACCCACCTGCGTGCGGAACAGCTCTCACCGGACGCCTACTGCACGCTGGCAGGAGACCTCAGACTTCAGAAAGGGCAAGAAAATCTCCACGGAACCAGGCAGGGCAAAACAAAGAAGAGAAAAAGAGAGAGAGAGAAAGGAATGGGGACAGGACCTGGGCCCCAGGGAGGGAGCTGTGGAAGAGGAAAGGTTCCTGCACCCTGGAGAGTGCCCTTGCCGGCAGGGAGATCAGCGTGGACCAAGGGGGAGCTTCAGGGCCTCAGAGAGAGCACAACAGGTCTGAGAAAGGCAACGCAGACAGTGACCTGCACATACGGTGGTCATTGCTGCCCTGTGCTCCCCAGACTGAGACACCCGTCCACTGGGGCGGGTGGGGGCTGGGTGCTGAAGCTTGGGCTTCAGAGGTCAGACCCGGGGAGAGGACGGGGGTTGGCTGCGTGGAGACATCCTGAAGGGGCTGGAGTGTGGCCATGGAGGGTGTACGTGGAAGAAGCCTGGGTCCCCCCGGAGAGGCAAGGCACGATTGTTGGGGGATGTGCAAGGGGAACAGCGGGACCACTGAAGAAGCTTCTCTCCCCAAGCACGCACGCTCTCAGGCAACAGCACACCGCCTACACGAGCCCCGGGGTGGGCGTGAGCCACCGCTGCTGCGAGAGATGAGGGAGCAGGCAACAATCACTGCCCCTGCCATCCTGGGAGCAGGCCGGCTGCCACTGTGCCTAAGAGACCGGCGAGCAGGTGCTAATCACTGTCCCTGCCCGGCGAGGGCCTTGGGAGCGCGCGCGGGCCACCGCCCCTGCGGAGAGACCTGTCAGCAAGTGCCAATCACTGCCCCTGATGGTAGGGGCCCCGGGAGTGCGCACGGGCTGCCGGCCCCTGCACACCCCTATTACGGGGGTAACAGCAAGCACACGCTGAGGAAAGAGGTGGCAAGCATGCAAACTAAAAGCTGCCCTTGTGCCCAAAATATTAAGGGGCAGAGTCCCACATAAAATAGCCTCCCAAGACTAGAACACGTAATTGTTTCTCCTAAACTCACAGAGTAAGAGAAACGTTAAGTACAAGAAGCAGAGAAACCACTCGCAGTTAACAGACCAAGAGAATTCCCCTGAAGGGACAGACAACGGAACAGACCGCTTCATTCTAACAGACACGAGTTAAAGAGGAGGCAGTAAACACCCTGGAGGAGGAGGGGTCCAGACGGCGCACAGGAAGAGGCGGAGTTGGCGTCTCCTCACAACGGGGCGCCGGCCAGGTGCCGGTGGGGCCTCAGACATCTACAGGGAAGGGAGGGATCCCCAAGCAACTGGGCAGGACGTGGAGGGGAAGGAGGAGGGGAGGAAAAGTGGAGGTGGGATGGGACCAGCACCCTCGGGGCGGGGCGGGAAGGGGAGGGGTTCCCACATGGGAGGGGGATCAGGGGGTCAGAGGGGAGCGTGGCCGGCGTCTCCCCCGACCACTCGGGCCCTGGCGAGCCTGCCGGGGTCCTGGGCCTACCCCTCAGCCCTCCAGGGCCCCTCCCGCTGTGCTGGGCCTAAGCCCCGCCCCTCAGGCCTCTTCCAGCCCCTTTTTTCTTTTTTCTGCTGTCGTGGTTCTGTTTTGCCTTGTTGTTGTTGTTTTATTTTTAATTTTACAATATTTTTATTTTTCGAATTTTATTTTAGTTTTTATTCTTTCTTATTGCCCTGCTTTGCCTTTTTTTTTTTTTTTTCAGTGCCGTGTGGCTTGTGGGATCCCGATTCCGAGGCCGGGGGTCGGGCCTCAGCTCCTGTGGTAGGAGCACCAAGTCCAAACCGCTGGACTAACAGAGAACCTCAGGCCCCAGGGAATGTCAGGCAGTGTGAGGCCACGACCGCAGGGGGACCGCGGGCCACGTCCCCACGCGCAGACACCCACCTTGGCCACTCTGCCCATGTCCCCCATGGTGGCCCTCTCGTGCGGGAACTGGGCGAAAGTCCTCTCGATCTTGGCGATGATGGCGTCTACGTTCACTGCGTCCTGCGGGCGGCCTCGGGGGAAGTAGAACGTGGGGATGCTCAGGCTGGCAGCGGGCGGCAGGGGCTGTTCCTTCCTCGTCTGGACCTGAGAGAGAGAGCAGTGAGGACCCAGCACGATGAGCACCTGCTTCCCGCCGGTGCGTACTGAGCAGAGGCGGGCTGGACCAGAGCGGCTGCCCCGAGCCCAGCGAACCCGACTGTGGACAGAACGCCCAGACCATCACCGGGCTGACTGCAGACACGGGAGGTGACGGGCCCGTGGCGGAGCGCCACACACACGGCCCTGCTTCCCCCGATCCTGCCTCGGGTGTGACCCCTCAGGACAAGGACGGCTGAGAGAACCTGCCCTCCTGCCCTCCCGGGAGGCCAAGGTCGGCACAGGCGGGCTGTCCCCTCGTTTGCGTCTCGCGCCTGGAACTGCCTGTCCCCACACCGCCCTTCCCTGTGGACGGGATGTGAGGCCAGCGCCGTGGCTGGGCACGGCCCTCAGAAAGCACCACAGCCCCGAGGGCTCAGCATCCTGGCACAGGGAGCGCCCGGAAGCCATCCTGGAGCCACACCGCGCCTTCCAAACGGCAGTGTCAGGATGTCTGCCCGGTGGCCGACGGGGTGACCCGTGAGCTCGGTGCAGTCACAGGTCAGAAGCGTGCACCACGCATGCAAAGGAGGGTTGCGTTCGCCAATGCCCCTGAGTAGACGGGACCAGTCAGTGGAACCACTCAGGAAGCACCTGCTGGGAGTGGATGCGCTGGGACTGGGCAGGTCTGGGGAGGCCGGGAGGGTGGCTGCACGCGGTGAGGCTTGCTGTCCCTGGACTGTGGGGCACTGTCCCCCTGCAGGATGTACAGTGTGCCTCTGTGCTGACCCGGGAAGGCCTCCTAGGTGCCAGAAACAGCTGCCCCGAGTCACGGCCTGTAATGCCCATGGAGACTCACGCATCCGGGCATCCCTGATGGGCAGGGACAGGGAAGCACAGTCCAGCCCACGGCCCACCTCCTGGACACACCCCAGATTCCCTGTGGTTGGGGACACGAGGACACACCGTGACGCAGCAGAAAGAGCCCAGGGTCCTGGTGGGAAGCGCTGGAGCGAGGGATGAGCACCCAAGGCCTCAGGCCATGGGACCGGCGGGGGACGGGGAGTGACCAGGTGTTCCAGAGAGGGGACGGCGAGGGGTACGCCCGCCAACGAGGTCTGGGAAACTCAGCGCACCCAGGGCACTAGGGACACACGGAGCCCATGGCCCCTGGGCATCCAGAGACACGCGTGGAAAAGCAGATGGAAGGCAAACGCAGGAGAGGGGCTCACAGGTAGCACCGCCCCTCCAGGGGTGGTTACGTCCAGGGGGTTGGGCCGGGCAGCCAGGCCCGCACAGCCAAGGACGGGGCGCGGTGGCGGGGTGCTCACGGCGGGGTGCCCCCGTCCCAGCTGCCCCAACCAGGCACACACAGCACAGCTCCACGCCCACAAGCACCAGGGGCCCCGCCACCAACCTGCAGCCGAGACACAGCACACGGCCCTCAGGAGTCACGCTGTGCACTGATTCTAACGTTGTGAGCGGACGTCACTCCTACAGCCTGCAACTCAGGCCGCTTCTCCACCCGCAACACAGCAGGAGACAGCAGGCATCCCCCTCAGTCACACCTCGGGACTTCCCGCGACCCCTCGGTCACATCAGGGACCTCCCGCGTCCCCTCGGTCACACCTCGGGATGTCCCACGACCCCTCGGTCACATCAGGGACCTCCTGTGTCCCCTCAGTCACACCTCGGGACCTCCCGCGACCCCTCGGTCACATCAGGGACATCCCGCGTCCCCTCAGTCACATAAGGGACCTCCCGCGTCCCCTGGGTCACACCTCGGGACGTCCCGCGACCCCTCGGTCACATCAGGGACATCCCGCGTCCCCTCGGTCACACCTCGGGACGTCCCCTGTCCCGTCAGCCACATAGGGGATGTCCTGCGTCCCCTTCTGTTACGTCGCGGATGCCCCACGTCTCCTGTATTTCCTGAGGCCCCAGATGAGGAGGCAGCTGTTCAGTGCTTGGCAACCTTGCACGGGACAGTGACCGTACCAAGAGGAGGTGGAGCCGTCATGAGTCGGCTGTACCAGGTCCGTGTGGCAGCCTGGGGACACTGGGCGACGAGCTCTGTGATCACCACGGGGCCAACACAATCCTGAGGGGCTGCGTTCAGACTTGGCTCAGTCCTGAGAGGCGAGCGGGAGATGGGAGGCGCCCGGAGGGGAAGGAGAGGCGCAGCAGGCCGCCCTGAGGACTGGCATGGCCACGGGCTGGGGCAGCGACAGCACGGGGATGGGGTGGGGAGACGGCAGGAGGCGGGAGGACAGGCCCCGGAGGAGCCCCTGCCCCGGGAGGGGCCGCGGGACGCCTAACGTTCCATTCAGACTCGGCCCTGTCGGCGCCCAGGGACAGAGGCTGACCCCCTCCTCCCAGCCCTAGGACGTCCTGGCTCTGGGATTTGGTTTCGGGGCAGAGCTGCTGGGCTGTGATGCCCACCTACGGCGGCAAAGAACAGCCGCAAGGGAAGCAAGACCCAGCGCCGGTCCCGAGGACGGAGAGATTCGAGGGTTCACGCGTCACCTGGGGACGCCCAGGCTTCACCTGGGGAATGTTTCCTCCGGTTTCCCTCCTCTGGGCGGGTTCAGTTTTCCTCGCCTGTGTTTGGAGGGCAGGATGGAGCGCAGGCCCCGTGTCCTGGGCTGTCACCTGTAGCAGCTCATGGCTCACGCCTGTGGAAAGGGCTGCTGGCTTGCACTGACGCCTCTGGCATCCTCCGCGGCGCGGCGGCACTCAGCGCCGGGTGCCACCATCGCCCACCGCCGAAGCAGCTGGGCCGGCTGGTCCCAGGGCAGGCACCCCACCTGCCAAGCCACGGCCGCAGACACATACAGACAAGGTGCCGCTCAACAACACGCGCTATTTTCTCCGCTGTCAGGATGGGGACGCCGCCCTCACCAGCCACCGGGAAACGAAGGGAAATGAAGCCGCCAAGGACACGGCGGAGTGGAGCCTTGCCTCCTGAGAGCAGGGAGCTCTCCCCACGTCACCAGCTCCGTGGCGCCTGCCCCACGGTCACCTCGTAGGCCCCTCCCAGGAGAACTGGGCTCAGGCAGGAAGCAACGCGCTCCCAAATGGAAGGTCTGAATTGCAGAATGGGACGAAGGGCAAGGAACATGGTGCCTACATGGGTAAATCCATGCACACGCCCTCCACGTACATCGGCAATGAGAATATTGCTTTACCTCTCTTTAAAGACTCTCTCAGGACAACAACATGAAATGAGAGGGTGCCGGCAGTGAAGGGTTTGAAGGTTTTGAGCTGGAGGGTAAAGATACTCACTCTGTACCTAAAGAAACGAAGTCACTGACCTTGTAAGATGAGCAGTAAGCTAGTATTAAGTGCTCCGGCGAGGGAAAGATAAAAAAGAGGGAAAGGAGAGCATAAAAAGAAACATAAATAAGACCGTGAAAATAAATCAGAATGGATTAATAGTCCTTATAAATGTAAATGGATGAAATGTTCCAATTAAAAAACAAAGATCAGACGGAAAAAAGAAAGTAAGACTGACTTACAGGAAACACGTGTAAGATATAAGGACACAGAAGTGGAAAACTTTTAACAAGTGGAAAAAGATATAGCAGCCAACAGTGACAAAAAGAAGGCTGGCATCGTCAGATTCATGCCCAGATAGGGTAGAAACTCTGGATGTGACAGACATGGTCAGGACACCACACTGGGTGTCCATCACGGGAAGCTCTGCCGACCCGGAGCTGACCGCTGCCCCAGCACAGCCTCGGTGCCCACCAAGCCAAGGTGCTGGGGAAATGCAGGGACGCGGCACAGAGGCAGGCCAGGCCCGCTCCCCCGCCACCCCTGACGGACCACCGGATGACGGAAAAACAAACAGCTGGGCACGGACACGAGAGATTTACAGTGTAATCTCTGGGACATAAATAGAGCGCGGCCGGCACAGCTGCGGGACACACGTTCTTTTCCAGCACACAGGGCGCTGTTGGGAGCCGGCCACCTCCAGGCCCCAAACAGGCCTTAGCAGAGCCGGAGGGGACCACGGGGGCTGTTTCCTGAGCTACCTGCGTCCAGGCTGGACGTCCACAATGAAAGCGGACGTGGCACAAATACGTGTGTGTGTGTATGTGTGTTTGTGTGTGTGTGTGTGTGTGTGAGACAGACAGACACACAGGGAGGATTCTCAAGCAGGGCTGAAGCCTCTCAGAAGCCAACACAGCAGGTGGGGCACTCGGCTCCCAGAGCAGGGCAGCTTCCCTCCCAGCGACACGCCTGACGCCCGCCTCCCGGCTGTCACCCGGGCACCGGTCAAGATGACACCTGCTCGCAAAGAGCTATTTCTGTCGCCCGCACGGACACCAGCGCTGCCTGACTCATCACGATTCCAGACATCATGGAGACGCCCGGGGCCCCCAGAACACAGGCGGGCTGAAAACTCGGCCTCATGGGAAAGCACGGCCATCCCTGCGCAGCGGCAGGGGCCCCGGGAGGTGGGCCTGCACAAGCAAGCGCCCAGGCCAGCCTTCTCTAAACGCAGTCTCGCACGGCCAGTGCCCCGTCGGGCAGACGCACTAGCTGGGGTGGCGGAAACGACCGTGGCTCCGACTCTGCCAGGGCAGGATGCAGGGCAAGTGCGGCACAGCCCGGGGGCAGCATCCAGCGGGCCGGCCCCATCCGAGCCGAGACCCAGGGGCAGCGGCCAAGCCCGGCGGGCGGCGCAGGGACACAGGCGGGCATGGCGCCCACCAGAGTCCACCGCTGGGCTGGGAGGCCCTGCAGGCCAGAGCTGCTTCTCCTCCGACCCCAGGGCCCCTCCCCACCGGCTGGCGGCAGGCTCCCCGGCTAGACCTGCCAAGGGCCCGCTGGACGGACAGCAAGAGTCCAAATGTGAAAGTTTAAAGCAGAGGCGCCAAAACAAAGATGAGAACGGCTGGCCCTGCGCGTGGGTTTGTTCATAAGTCCTCTAGCCACCACAGGAGAGGGACTGGCGTCGAGAGGCCACATGAGCCACGGAGGTTTCCAGGGGAGAAAAGGTG